GTTACTGAATGACCGAGCTTAAACGTTATTTTTTTTTATAAATAAGTGTATTGCTCATCACCAAGTATCATTCGTGACAACTTATCTTACTCATAAAAATGTTTGTTCAAGCTCTTGTTTTCTATGGACCAAAGAAAAAAATCAATATTAACCTAGATCCTTTGTGGAATTTCAGAACATTGGTTGCAACAATTAACACCGGATTTCGGCAGCTGGGCGGTCGTCGCGTGACAGTGAGGAAGATTGAGTATCGTTGTCCATATATAACGCTTACAGAATCGACTACGCAAGTCAACACGGAAAGTACCCGTTGGACGACCGTCGTTATAGTTAGTCTTTTCCTGCACCATGAAACAAAATCTTTCGCGATCAAATTGCATGACGTTGTGTGTGTTAGCCTTAGCTACCTCATCAGCCATGCCTTTGTTACAACCATCTGTAAACACTTTCCCTGAAGATAACATCTTGGTCCATTTGTGTCCTCTTTTACCAAAGAGCGAACCCATTCTATAGTACGTAGACTGGACTAATGCAGTGATTGGAAGGTTTCTTGTTGCCTTTAGTACATAGTTTATTGTCTCTGTCAAGTTAGATGTCATATGTCCCCAACGTTGCCCTCCATCAAATGTTCTGGCCCACTTCTCCCTAGGAATGTTGTCTATCCAATTCGAAGCCTCAATGTTTGTTTTTCTCTCCGCGATAGTAATTAAATGTAGCCTTTGTTAATGCGTAACCTATAAGAAAAATTGTGTGAAAAAATGATAAAAGTGTGCTACGAAACTTGAGATAAGTGAAATTTATTTTCTTACCCATGTTAACAAGTTTTTTGCGTAGAGCCTTGTCCTTAATCTCGCGCATGAAGTTCTGAGCGATGTGCCTTATGCAGTAGACATGGGAGGATGTTGGTTGAAGCCATCCGTTTTCGGGATTGTTGTATGCACTCTTTATCGATTCGTGTCTATCTGATATTAGACACAAATTCGGTTGTGGTGTCACGTGTAGTCTCAGGTTCCTCAGGAAAAAACTCCACGCTTCCTTTGTTTCACCTTCGACCAATGCGAAGGCTATTGGGAAAATATTTGCATTGCCATCTTGTGCCACCGCCATCAATAGAGTTCCTCTGTACTTACCATACAACTAAGTTCCGTCTACCTGCACAATGGGCTTACAGTAGGCGAAGCCACATATACACAGACGAAATGCCCAAAACAAACGATGAAATATTCGTTTTCCAGAGAGTTGGTAACCATCATTTGATATCGCAGGTAGTGTTTGTAAATCTATAATGGTTCCTGGAAGAAAGGTTTTCATTACCAGTAACCACTGTGGTAGGTCGTTGTAAGATGTTTCCCAATTTCCAAAAAGCGACTCTACCGCCTTGCACTTAGCGATCCACGCCTTCCTATAAGATATGATGTACCCGTATTTTTCTAGAATATGGGCAATGGTGACTTTTACCTTGAGTGAGGCATCGGTGTTGACAAGTTCCCTGATGCTATGGCTAGCCATTTCTGAACTGAGCTTCCTATGGTCTTGTGCCATAGACGTCGAACTGCATGTGTGAGCCCCTGACAGCTTACCTATCACCCATTTCGAGTTCCTTTTTCTCAAGGAAGCTCTGCACTTGAAACCGCAGTCTTGTTTCTTACATTTAATGACATACCGTTTATTGTCAGACTTATACACCGAATAGTCAACACTGCGTGTTATGTGCCAATGCTGTAGAGCAAATACACAAGCTTCCTTGTTTTCGAACTCCATCCCAATCTCGATTTCGTCACCTACATGGTTTTGAGTAGCATTTTCAAACACGGAGGTTGTATCGTCGTGTTCGTCACATATATTTTGCATGTGAGCAGGCGGGTTGTACAAACTTATGGGCTGTGCACGGATCGGCGTTACGACCATATCTTCGTTGTCTTCGTCATCACTGTCACCAAAAATATCTTGCATCCTGACCTCCTGAATATCGTCGTCGCTTGCTTCTCCAACCTCCTCATTTGGTATGAAAGGGAAGTTGTTTTGTGTTGGTTCGTCGTCGGATGTTTGACTGTACCCGTAGCAGTGTGACTGTGTCTCTTGTGTTGGAAATGTTTCGGGGTTGTCTATTAGTCGGACATACAACTCAATTGTATGTAAGTTACCAAACATCGCGTGGCACCTAAACATTGCAATCACATCTTCGTCGTTTCTGATCGGTGTCATTAAGTAAAAAATTGTACGCTCGTTTTCATTAAGTGTTGGATGGCGATAAAATATTTCCTCAACGCTTCGTGTCAATGTTTTTTCCATTCTATCTTTTAAATGGAAAAAATCAGAATTCACATGAAAATCGACTCAAGCTATCTTGAGATAGCCGGTTTTGCAAATATATCAAAAATAAAAAGTCTAAAAATCGACTCAAGCTTGGTTGTGGCGCTGTTGGAGAAGTGGAGACTAGAAACACACACGTTTCACCTCCCAACGGGCGAATGCACAATAACTCTTGAAGATGTCTGTATGTTACTTGGTCTGCGAGTTGATGGAACAACCATCAACGGTCCCACTGAGGTAACAAACTACGTTTACATGGAAAACTTGGGGATGGAACCTACCGAAGATGAAAAAATAAAATGTTCCGTTAAAATAACCTGGCTAGAGGGTTTATACGGAAATTTAAAAAATAAATCTGCCCCTACCCAAGAAGACGTTCTCTTAGAAGCTAAAATATATATTTTACTTGTAATCGCTACAATTTTGTTTCCTGACAAAACTCAAAATCTATTACATTCTTCTTGGATCCCTTTCGTAGGGGATCTTATAAAATGCGGCACCTAAATTGTATAGAGAAATGTGCAAGGCGGCAGTGAAAGATGTTAGGAGCTTGAGCGGATGTGCACTCCTACTAACATCATGGGCATTCACACGTATCCCATTGTTCGCTCCTGTCACTACAGTGGAACCCTCGTATCCATATGCACAAAGGTATTACTTTATTAAAATACTCATTTATGTGTACATAACGTAAATATTTTTTATTCAACTATCTCTAACAATATTTTTTTTGGTAAAAAAGATGGGCGCAACGAGGGATGAACTACCGTGCAAATCCTCGTTTCCATCTCCAAGGTTATCGAAACGCATTGGACCATATGCAAGAACACGATGTAAGTTTCAAACCACGTGGAAATAGTCTTCAATTCAACTCATTATCGGTATATTAATTTCCTTTTTTTTTCCAGTTCATATGGAGACCGTACATTCGATATCCGCTGCCGAGGCTTGAAGATAGTCAAATCTGGAGTGCAACAACATTCCTTATTTGTTTCTATACCGTTGAGATGCATCAAACGGATAGAGTAACACTCCAGTTTGGACTGGATCAACAAATCCCTCCCCCACCAAGGTGTATAAGAGAACACCACGCCATGACTATGAGAAAGGCACAAAGAGTTAATTGGCGACAATTAAACAACGAGGAGCTCAAAGAATGGAGAAACAGGAGACATGTGATTTTACAAGGGGACGTCGTGTTAGGTGAACGCAAGCCAAGTCAAGAGTATTTAACTTGGTTTCGTGTCATTCCTTATGTGCACATTGCTTCGGACCAATTTTTAACGGACCCACGCTTGCAAGGATCATCATCAACACAACAAACTACGGCATCAATGCATCAGGATGTGCCACCAACCCACACATCCCAACATTCATACCAAAACCAAACACCCAACAATCCACTCCATCAACAAAACTATACCTACCAATACAACCAACAATATCAGCCTCAACCATACATACGACCACCCATACAGTTCACCCCAGTCCAACCGCCCCTCTTTGACCATACCGACCCTCATTTCCAATATCAACCCTCCAACACAACCTATACTCAACCCACCCCGAACTTTACGCATGATGACGTCTACTACCCAACCTTTCAACACCCCCGATCCGAAACCTACCCGCCACCACCGCAACCACCACACTCATTCCAACAATTTTTGTTGACAGACGAGCAACTGATGCAGATGCCGAATTTTAACATTGATGATCTTCTCGATGAGCAACCGGGACCCTCTTCACTGCAGACAAACCCCCTACAACACATCACAATGAAGACATGTCTTCTGACTCTTCTGAATCAACTAGAAATGAGCGTTTGGGTAGGGGATATAGACAGCGAAGGATCCCTAGGTGTGGAACTGGGGGACATATTAGATGAAATGTATTTTTATTTTAATCAATGTAAAAATTATTTATTAATGAGTATTTCATAATTTAATTTTTTATTAATGAGTATTTAATAATTTATTTTTTTATTAAATTTTTTTAATAATAATTTATTTTTTATTAATTAAAATTTTATTTTTTATTGATGAGTATTTTTTAATACATAAAATTTTATTATTTATTAAAATTAACATTATTATTTTATTATTAATTATAATACATAAATAAAAAAATAAATTAATAATAATAAATACATAAAACTCAGAATTAAAAAATTAAAATTTTATTATTTATTAAAATTAACATTATTATTTTATTATTAATTATAATACATAAATATTTAATGTATTAAAAAATAAATTTCTAATAATAAATAAATAAAACTCAGAATTAAAAAAAAAAATTCATATGCACAAGCTCGTCCTTCCAAGCTCGTCCTTCCAATGGACGAGCTCATACTGGGCCATGTTTCATCACAAGCTCGCCCTTTCGTTGGGCGAGCGTCTACTGGGTCAAACTGATTCGTCATTTCAATGGGCGAGTTCGTAGTAGAAAGGGGGTATTCTGGTAAAAAAAAATTAAAATGGAGTATTATGATATATTACTTTTCAAAGGGTGGTAGTACGGTAAAAAAAATCCATTATTGAAGGAAATGAAAGATACATTTATTCACTTACACTTAATCACTCATTTTGAAAACATGATAAAAACAACAACAACTAAACACATACAGCGACAGTAAGATACAAAAAGAAACACACTGTTTTTTATTTAATAATTGTATGGATGACTCAAGAGCTTGAAACCAACTCCACAAGTTTCTTGAAATCCTTGGTTGCAAGCCCTTTTGGTCCATCAGCTTCTTCAAGAATGTTCTTCATCTTTAAAGAATTTTCTTTAAACCTCTTCCCCTCTTCCTCCACAAGAAGCAAATTCAAACCTTTAAGCAAACCATTTTTGGTAAAAGCCCTACCTTCAATTATGACACCAACCTCCCAAACATCCACAGCCAATCTTGCGTTTATCCCTTGATCTGCAAAATAAGGCCTAAATATCATAGGCACGCCATTTGACATTCCCTCAAGCATAGAGTTACAACCACCTTGAAAAACAAAAGCACCGACACTATCATGTCCTAGAATTCTACTTTGAGGCACCCAATTCAAAACTTTGCTACGCGTCTTTGTCCTTTCAAGAAACCCATTTGGTAAAAGACTCCTTAGATTCTCTTTCAATGACCAAATGAATGGATATCCACTTTCTTCTAATGCCTCTGCCAATGCCACAATCTCATCTTTTGTTGGTTCTATCACAGTGTTACCAAAACTAATTAAGACAACTTTCAATGATTTTTCCTTTTGCACCTCCAAAAAGGACATGCATCCACTTTCATCAATCTCATCATTTAGTTGTGTTTTTGGTTTCAAATTAAAAAGTGGAACATAAAGCATTAGTTGTAACTTAGTTCTAATGTGTTGAACAAAAAGTGGTAAGTCTAATTCTTCAAAGAAACTCACAACTACTGCTTTAGCTTGAGGTAGAATTGTAGAAAGTGATTCAAGTGCTACTGTAAGCGCAGTTTCTTTCTCAGTACTGGTCATGAGAGGATCATGTGGTAAATCTTCAACACGTAGCACTGATAAACCAGGAAGAAAATCCAATGTTTTTTTACTATCATTAACAGTGCAATGTTCACGAATGATGTTACCATGAAAATGAACAGATAGTGAGCATGACATCGGAATCCAAACAGGAATCCATGGAACATTCAACGTTTGAGCAAGATCAAAAGTTGGTGTTATAAAAGCATCTGCTATAATGCAAGTGATTGGTATTTTAGTTTCTGAAACTGCTAAGTCTATACCTCTTTGAAAATTCTCTTGCCCGCTTTGAATGTAGAGATTGGCTTCACTACCATGGACTAGTTCGTGATTCTCGGGGATTCCATCACTTACATTGTAGTGTTTGATGTTGTTTGGTGTTTTGGTTTTTGAGAAGAGCAATTGGTTGTTTTTTGCGGTGCCAATGAATGAGAAGTAACAGTTTGGAAGATGGAGAGCTAGTTTGATGGTAAGGCTTAGGGCCGGTAAGGGGTGGCTGCTAAAGGGGAAAGGAAACACTGCAATGTGTTTGTTTTCAGTGATATTCGACATGGTTGGGGAAAGTAAATATGAGAGAAAGCTACAAGGAATATGTGTGTTTTTATTGCGTGTAGAATGAATGGTTAAAGGAAGGAGATTTTATAGGGAAATTATCATGTGATTGGTTGGTGTAGCAGCCATATTTTTTTAAAAATATAAATGCTTGTAGTATGGGGTGGACCAACATATAGCCCTCAAATTTCCTATTCACGTTTTCTATTTACGTTTGCCCGGAAATCTACTCGTGGCTGATTCATATCCATATTTTTTAGAGGTGACAATTAAATCCATTAAGACAAAATCCATCCAATCCATCCATCAAAAAATTCATCCAATTCATCCACCACACAAAAAATAAGTTAATGGATTGGATTAAATTCATCCATTTATATGCATGGATGAATTCAATCCATCCATTTATATTTTAAGGATTCAATGAATTATTTTTATTTTCGTTAGATTTATTTTTTTAAAATTAGATTTTTTTTTAAAATAATTAAAAAACTATATTTTTTTTTCTGAAATTTTTTTTTTAATTTTTTTGAAAAAAATATGTTTTTTTTTTAGAACAAAAAACTGATTTGTTTTTCGAAAAAAAAAAAACCGATTTTTTTTTGGAAAAAAAATTAATTTTTTTTTTCAGAATAAAAAACTGATTTGTTTTTCGAAAAAAAATAAATTTTTTTCTCGAAAAAAAAGTCGACTTTTTTTTTTGGAAAAAAATCGGTTTTTTTTCAGAATAAAAAACTAATTTGTTTTTCGAAAAAAAAATCGACTTTTTTTTGGAAAAAAATCAATTTTTTTTCTGAAAAAAATCAGTTTTTTTTTCAGAATAAAAAACTGATTTGTTTTTCGAAAAAAAAAACGACTTTTTTTTTTGGAAAAAAATCGTTTTTTTTTTTCAGAATAAAAAACTAATTTGTTTTTGAAAAAAAAATTATTTTTACGAAATTAAAAAAAAAGTTGGATGGATGGATATCCATCCATTAAAAATATGTTAATGGATGGATTAGATGGATTTTATTTTTAATGGATGGATCGGATTGGATAATTTTAATAAAATTTTAGTGGATTTTAATGGACTAATGTATTGTTTTAATCCATCCATTAGCAATCCAATCCATATTCATCCAATCCATCCATTTTGTCACCCCTAATATTTCCTATCTACATTTTCAATGATACAAATTTTAACACGTCCATTATATATATATATATATATATATATATATATATATATATATATATATATATATATATATATATATATATATATATATATATATATATATATATATATATATATATATATATATATATATATATATATATATATATATATATATATATATATATATATATATATATATATATATATATATATATATATATATATATATATATATATATATATATATATATATATATATATATATATATATATATATATATATATATATATATATATATATATATATATATATATATATATATATATATATATATATATATATATATATATATATATATATATATATATATATATATATATATATATATATATATATATATATATATATATATATATATATATATATATATATATATATATATATATATATATATATATATATATATATATATATATATATATATATATATATATATATATATATATATATATATATATATATATATATATATATATATATATATATATATATATATATATATATATATATATATATATATATATATATATATATATATATATATATATATATATATATATATATATATATATATATATATATATATATATATATATATATATATATATATATATATATATATATATATATATATATATATATATATATATATATATATATATATATATATATATATCTTTTTATTTTAAAGCTAACATAGGTTAAATTTGGGAATGTGCAGAGAGAAATTTGAAAAATTAAGTGAAAATATTTATGTTAGCAAAAAAGACGAGTAATGATGCACAAGCATGGTCATAGGTTAGAGAGTATAAGGGGAAATGAAAAGCCAGGAACATGTGTAGAAAATATTAAGAGGAGAGAGAGTAAATAGATAACGTTATGGTTTGTTTAGTGACTAATTTAATTCTAATCATTTAGGTTAGCTAGGGTGTTGCTAACTCGTGCACAATATTAAACTGTCTTTGATCACATTTATATTCTTTTTTAAAACGTGATAATTAAGTATACTTAATTATTAATTGCCTCAAATAAATTTTATAGGGTAATAGTAACTTGTGTTCTTGGGATATAAGTTAGGAGATTAATATAAGAAATAATTTTTAGAAATTGTGTAATAAATTTAAGGGTAATGCTAACTTGTTCTTGGGGCACAAGTTAAGTGATTAATATAGTAAAAATTTATTAGAAATTGTGTATTAAATTTTATACAAATTTAACATTAATGATTTTATTGGTTTTTCCAATATTTATTTTCTATTTGTGAATTTTTTAACATGTGCCCAAGGGCACAAGTTAGGATTATCCTAAATTTAATACAGCCTTATAATTAATGACTTTATTGTTTTTTTTCATACATATTTTCTATTTGTGGGTTTTTTAACCTGTGTTCCAAAGGCATAAGTTACCATTACCCAATTTTATATAGTCACTTTCTCTCTCACTAGCATCTAGACGGACACTTTCGTGCTCGTCCGTTTTTTTTAATGTTCAGACGTTTAAAAATATAAATGTATTTTTTGTGTGTTTATTTTTTTAATTTAAATTATATATAAAAAAAATAAATAAAATAGTTATGCAAACTACCATATAACAGTTAATAAAAAAATGTTAGTAAAAGAGAAGTTGAATTTTAAAATAAAAAACAAAAGGGTATAATTGAAATAAAAATAGCCTACACCAAATCTAAATTTTCCCTTTATATATATATATATATATATATATATATATATATATATATATATATATATATATATATATATATATATATATATATATATATATATATATATATATATATATATATATATATATATATATATATATATATATAATACATTCACTTTCTCTTTTATATAATACATACACTCTGGTCACTATTATAAGCAACAATAAAAAAATTCGGTTCATTGAATAATTGATGTATCAGATATATAATAATTACCAGATACATGATTTATTCAATGAATCTAAAAAGTTTTTTATTGCTTATAATAGTGACCGGATGGTGTCCTATATAATACACTCATTTTCTCTATCATATACTACATATTAATGTAATTAATAATCCTTAACAAGTACCCATTGACGATTCGGTCCTTTGATGTGTAAAATCAAAAGTAAGTATTTTGTTATTGTATACAGATGAACTAGTGCAATATTATTGTCGTTCAACAATAAATATGGTTTTAAGTAAAGGGTTTACAAGATATTTCATTGCAAAAATTAAAAGAATGTAAAAACGGTAAATGTTTAAGAAAATGAACATATGGATAAACTTGTTAGGATTAGATTTCATTAATCTATTTCACATGTATTCTACTGATTAGTTATATGAATCCTAGTTAATAATCACTATTATCATGTATCGTTCACCGACATCGTTTATGTCTAAACAATGATGTGGGTTATACCGTATTGTTTGATTGAAGATCTCTCAGCCTAGTAATCAATACGATAACATTACGAATCGATACAAGTAGTGAATATTAAATACAAATCTATTTCTAGAATTTAGCTTTTAACATATGATTATCTTAAGTCGGGAGTTGAAAGGTATTTCTCAATAATTCAAATCCATAAAATTAACATTTAAAGAAAGATAACATCAATATTGATTCATAACTAGTTCATATAACAATGACCGGAAGAGATATATACGATTATGGTTAATTACAGCTAATCCCATTATAAGAGAAATTAGCTACTCATTGTCATTGTAGTTAGGTACAAATGATAAGAATAGAGATGAATGAACATCAATCTTGATTCCTTGATGATTGTTGCGTATCCACCTTCGATTCCTCAAGTTCTGACTTTCTCTCTTGCCAATAGTGTATCTCTGTCTCAAAAAATGGTAATAATTCCTTGTTTCTTATTTTGTCTGGTATTTATATTGGTCTTGGAAATATACTCTCGCTCAGTTAGGTCTTGTCTCTCTCAGAGAGACCACCTTTCTTCACCATGAAGCTATTTAAAACGTCATCCTAAACTGCCTTACCTCGCTTAGCCATAGAAAATCTGGATAAGCGAGCACTCGCTACAACCTCGCTGCAAGCTCACCCAGCGTGCTTGGGCTTTTGGAGACTTTGACATTTTTCTTGTTTAGTGCTCACTTCAAGAATGCTTGGAGCTTAAATCTCTGGCTTTGCTCACTTCAATTGTGCTTGGAGCGTATCTCTCTTAAATTTTCTTGCTTTGCTCGCTTGGTGGTTGCTTGGAGCTCGCTCAGTGAGATTGCTGGAGCTTTTCTTCTTTGTTTTGCTGACCAAACCCTTGCCTTGAACAAATACCTACAAAATGAGTTAGACTTAGGTGAAAAATGCATAAATAAATTATTATACTTATAAAACTGGTATTTACATCAAAGATGAAGTTTCTATACTCTTAACTTGTGAAACAAGTTAATAAGTACACTGATTTCCATGTGTTTATGTACCATATTTTTCCACCTATCAACTCTTCCGAACTTAGAACTTTTTTTGTTCTCAAACACACATCTTAAAAAGCTAATGAAATTCAAGAGAAACATCACCAAGTTTTTCATGATCAACAAAATTGAAAGAAAAATTTAAAGTGCATGGTTCAATTGCAGAATGCACATGCAAGTTGTTATGCTTATTACTATCGTAGGATTAAACTATGACCATGAAACAAGTTTTCAACACAAAACTCATGTCAAGCATTCCAAGGAAATAAACATGTCTAATCATGAACCACACCTAACACACTTCTTTGTAAGTGGATAAAGAAATTTTGAAAATAACATGTGGGACTTGAACC